ATTCTAAGATAGTATTTGTTGTTGCTAAGTGCCGTTGAGTCGGTCCCAGCTCATAGCAACCTTGTACAGGGTTTCTGAGGAGTACCTGGTGGGTTTGAACTGTCAACCTTGTGGTTTGTAGTCCAGTGCTGATCCTATAGCATCATACCAAGATAACACTGTTGTTGTTGTTAAGTGCCGTCAAGTTGGTTCTGACCCAGAGCAATCCTGTATAGGGCTTCTGGTTGAGCTTGAACTGCCGATATTGCGGTTCAAATCAACTTTGCAGTCCAGTGCATTAACATTATACACCGTAATTTTGTGAGTAACATCTGGGGTCTTAAAAGCTTGTGAGCAATCATCTAAGAGACAACTATTGGTCTCTCCCTGTTTGAAGCACAGGAGAATGGAGAACACGGAAGATTCAAGGAAGCAATGAGTCCAGAGTACTCATGGCACATATAACCTACAGCCTCCTCTAAGCAGATACCAGGAGAACTAGATGGTGTCCAGCTACCGCTACTGATCACTCCCACCAGGACAGCAATGGAAGTGCCCAGTTAGAGATTATTGTGAAAATGTAAACCAAATTCATATTCATAAAAAAAGACCAGCGCTAATGCTCTGATAGACACTGGAAGGATCCCTGAGATTACTGTCCTAAAACAATCTTATAATTTGCAACTGAAGCCATTCCCATAGGCAACCTTTCACCTTTATAGACGGGCCTATAAAATAAACAACACCAGGAAGAATGTGCTCCTTAGAACAATCAACGATAAGAGACCAAAGAGGCAACATCTGCCCAAAAGGAGAGATGAAAAGGCAGGGAGGGGCGAGGAACCTGCTGAATGGAAATGGGTCCCAGTCTAGAAATTGGGCTTCCAGTCAATGTCATGAAACAATTTGCTATGCAAATGTGTACCTAAGGCACAATAAAATGTTAAAAAGAAAAGAATCCTGTTGTTGTTCTTAAGTACCATCAAGTTGGGTCCAACTCAAAGTGACCTTGTATAGGGTTTCCCAGGAGCAGCGGATAAGTTTGAACCACCGATCCTGAAGTTGCAATCTGAACTTGCAATAGTCTTAAACATAGTCTAGCTTAATATTTGGAGGAGAAGGTTAATATTTAGATGGCGTAATGGTTAAGCACTCAGCTGCTGAAAGGTTAGTGGTTCAAAATCACCCAGCAGTGCCACGGGAGAAACGCCTGGCAAGCAGATTCTATATGATAGCCTAGAAAACTCTATGTTCTACTCTGTCATATAGGATAGGATCACAGAGTTGAAAATCAACTCACGAGCACTCAACAGTTTTGTTACTGTTAAGTATCACTGAATCAATTCCGACCCACAGCAAGCCAGTATAGGGTTTCAACCGCAAACCTTGTGGTTCAAACTGACCTTGCAGTTTCTCCTACAGCGCCACACAAGAAGTCCCAACAACACTGAGTGGATATGAACTCCATTAACAGACATGTCAAAGATGTGTCCTTCTCACAACCACTTTCCTTCCACAACACCTTCCACCACCCACAAATCAGGATAGACCTGAGCCAGTCTTGGAATGGACATGTGAGTGGGAGTGAGTGACCTCCCAGTCTAGGAAATGCAAGGTTTTTTTCCTTGTAACCACAATCCTGAAAATGAGTATGAGCTGATGAATGGAAGTGGCACTGTAGGATAAACACTGGACTGCTAACTGCAGGATTGGTGGCTCAAACTTACCAGCCACTCCTCAGAAACCCAGCACAGTATCACTGTGAGTCAGAACTGACTCTGCGGCACTTGACAAAAAAAAAATTTTTAATACAGAATTTTTTTTAAATGATAACATTTACATAGTGGGCTATCCAAGTTAACATTGTTATGAAGTGTTGTCCTGTCGGTTCTGACTCATAGTGACCCTGTACAGGATTTCCGAGGAGCAACTGGTGAGCTTGGATCACCAACCTGGCAGTTCAAACCTACTTTGTAGTCCAGCGCATTAACCCACAGCACCACACCAGGACTCCAAGTTAACATAATTAAGACTTTAAAAGGTCTCGTACATTTCAAGTTGCCATGAATCATAATCAACTGGATGACAACTAACAACATGAACAACAGTGTCAAGTACTCCAGAGAGACACAAAGGGAAGTAAAAACAGACAAATTAGTAGGCAATGCACAGTTACAATCTCTCCAAATATCATCAGTGGAAAGGCACTGAAAAAAATTTGGTGTGGTTTTGATGTTCTAAAATTCTCAAACGGATGAGAAAAGCAAGTTTTGGGTTTTTATTAGCTAATGAGATATATGAGAATAAAAAGTAATCTCTAGAATACTGATTTTCATTTTTATTCTTAGGCATCATCACCCTATTTTGTTTTTCATCTGGAAATTAGTAACAGAACCACAAAGATGCTGTGGTGAGGAGCAGGGCAAGGCCTGAAGTCCCTTGAGCATCTTCCAAGAACACCCTCTGTCCTCGCTACACTCTGAACAGTGGCTCTCAAAACATGCCCCCAGGAAACACTGATGTGTCTAAAAGTGGGTCCCAGAAGTTTACACATTTAAAATCAAATAGTCGTTTTTATCTCCCAAATTGCATAAAAATGCTATTTTCACAGGCTAGGTTCCCCTTCCCACTTACTTCAAAATTTCTAGTTGTTGTTTAGATGTTAGACTCCTGGTGCCACTGACTTGTCTAGTTCATGGAACACAACTCTTCCAGGAATAAACAATTAACTGAAAAGTAAGCTTCCTTTAAAATGGATGCAATTTTTTTGAGATGAAGATATATAGTCATATTTTAATGGGTAGAAGATAAACAGAAATTTAGAAAAAATAGTCTTTTCTGCTCATTATTCTAGTTTATGTGGGCTTGAACACATCCATTATCCCCACATGTTCTCAAGAGCACACCATAGCTTCTTCCAGTATTTAAAACAAGTTTAATATCACTGCTGAAGTAAAATTTCCTTAGTGGACATCAGCTCTATGCCCCTCATGCCGCTGCTGAAGTAAAATTTCCTTAGTGGACATCAGCTCTATGCCCCTCATGCTGGAACTCAGATGTCAGGTATTGAAGTACACATCTAAGTAGGTCAGTTTCTCCAGAGGTCAACAGTGACCAGCAGAGCCAGATTCCCTGGCCCTGAACACAGTTCTTATCTAAGGACACCTTACCTAAATCTCCCCTGCAGGCCTTCTCCTACACTTTACTTTTCCAGGACCAGCCCCGACTCCAGGCTCCCTATCTTTGACTCCCTCCTGGGTCTACACTGAAATGTAAGGAATTTCAGCTAGTACATTCTATTCATTAAACATTCTCATTTAAGAACAAAGTGATTTCACTGTTCTAGAGCAGTCCTAACTTGTAGGGCTCCAAGTTTTAACAAAAGAGTTCTGAATTCGCTCACAGTTGAAAGACCTACGGCAAAATTGTAGGATAATACATATAAGAAGACTTCAGAAAGTTCAAAATGAAAAATGGAATTTCTCCACAAACTTTCTGAAGCCCCCTCATGCATTAGAAAACACACTTGAGCTGAAAGGTTCTTGGCTGCAAATCATAAGGTTCCTGATGGCCTGAAAATAAATGCATATGGCCTTACTGGTTAGTTATGTGCAGCGTTTAACAATGTTTAACAACGGTCTCTCCAGGAAAGAAAAAAGAAAAAAAGCCCAGTTTGCCAATTTTTACTATACAAGTACTCCTTTCATTGCTGACTTAAAGCTACTTGGCATAAGATGGTTCACAAAAATGTGATTAGCTAGTGTTTATTTTAATTCTGAATATGTAAAATTGGCACTCAAAGTCTCAAGGCCTTTTTTTATACCATAAATATGCTAGCAAACTTTCACCCACATCCATACACTGATTCTGGCCCAATGAAAATAATAATGATTGTTCACATTTACAAACAGGGTGGAGTCCTGATGTAACACTGTGGGAGGATAAGCACTGCATTACTACCCCCAAGGTCAGTGATTCAAACCCATCAGCCGCTCCTCAGAAACCCTATACAGTGTTGCTATGAGTCAGAACCAACTTGACAACACAGAACAACACAACAGGGTGTACACATAATTTACTGTCCAAACTAGGACTTCTGATAGTGAAAAGGGATTAATATTAATAATTATACCAGACAACCAGACTAAACTAGAACTCTATCAGTCAAATCAGAATCGAACTTATTTTTAGATGCACATGGCTTCTTGTCAAAGGGTTTCTGAAGCAGACTTGTTGCTCAAGGGTAAAAAAAAACCCCAAACTCAATACTATCATTCATGTAAACATATTCACCAATTCCAGTATGTAATTTAAAGAGCACCATGGGTGGGTATTGTGCTTTAAGGCGTACAAAGCTGTAGCAGCCATGATTTCTGAGCTCAAGAAGATTCAGACTCAGTGCAGAGGACAACACAGTATGTACAAGTGTGAAGAGCAGGCATTACTGATATACAAAAGACTGGGGACTTCCTCTGGTGAGGGCGGCCAAAGACATGGCAGCTGAGCAGATTGCAAAAGCAAAAAGGTGCTGAGGGCTTTTCAGAAAGCAGGACAAGAGGAGCAAAGGCTCAGAGCCTGGGGCAGGTGAGTAAATGTAAGGGATTGGTGCACAAAGCCCATTCTGGGGGCAGTGTGGTGACGTTTATGAGTACGTGGAAGGCAATGCTGAATGTCTGTCTGAAAACAGCAATGTAGTGTTTGAGGAATAGTTACTCTGATACCACACTGGGTTGGAAGATGTAAAGAACTAGTCAGAAGTCTTTTCCAGTAGTCTACTAGTGATACGAAAAGAGCAGGAGTTAAGGTGGTAACAGTTAAAAAAAAAAACACAATCCTTTTTGGCTATTTTCACATATGTGAAAGGAGAATCTAGGATTCTAGGTATTAATCAATTAAAATGACTTAGAACCATATATTAAATCCTTATGCAGTGGATGACAATTGAGAAGGATATTAAATATTGTAATAATCACATTGAAATGATAACAATTTCTTTACAAACCCAAAAACGTGCAGTTTACCTGTTACAATCTTGAACGCAGCCACTGCAGTTTCCTCCTTTTAGGCAACATGCTGCTCTATTTGAATATAAGATACTTAGATCATCTGCACTTTCACTTCCTAAAATCACATTCAAGTAAGTACAGTTAAAATCCATTCACAAAATCACAGTTCCCCAGAATTAAAAGACGACTGTGGTCTCCGATGGCACTGCATTCCCACGGATTGCAGTCCCAGCCCTCCAAGACGCAGGGTTTATTTCTGTAATTACTAGGGAGAAGAAAAGCCCGTAAAGGGCACATCCTACGCATTCCAAGGCAGGGGCTCCCCATCAGCCAGGTCACACATAGCCCTTAGTCACAGGAAGGAATCTATGGATGTAAGGTCTTTGCCATTCAGGAGGTGGCCTGCGCCCCTCCTGCGGCAGCTCTGAGATCCCAGGAACCGCAGCCGCAGCTCACCTGCAGCCTCCAGCTGTGCTATCGCCTCCGAGTACTTCAATGCTGCCTCGGTGAACTGCCCGCTTTTAAACAGCTCGTTGCCCTGGTTCTTCAGGCCAGCGGCGGCTGGGGGCACGTTAGCCGCCGTAGGGTCCTGGGTGTCCTGCCCGCCACCTGGGTGCCCGTTGTCGCCGCACGTCGTCGCCGAGCCCCGCTGGTCTGCGCCGGGCCCAGGCGGCCGTGTCCGCCCTGGAGCGCCCCTCTCCGGCCGCTTGCTGCCTTCGCCTTTGCCGGTGAACTTCTTCTGTATGTTGCCCATGGTGCACAGCTCACCAGCCTGCCGGGCTCCCGCCTGCTCCTCAGCCTCTGTAGGGAAGTGGATGCGGGAAGTGAGTGTGTTTGCATCAGCAGGAGAAACTACCGAGGAGGCCTTGGGGGGTGCTGGGCGGGAGCAAAGCCGCGGCCTCGCAGCTCACTCGGGCAGTTTCACTGGGGAAGCCGGGTGGCACCGCCCCCTCAGGCGGAGCCCTGCGGTTTCCTTGAGCCTCCTGCGCGGACGTACGCAGAGAGTATTTCACCAGGTTCGGTGTCCTGCTGAGTTCCCTTGGCATCCAGATGATACTTCCTGGGCTAGGGATCAAAGCCAACCAGGTATTTAATTCTTTAAATGATGAAGAGCTGGTGACATGAAAACCAGTATTTCAAACTCCTTCCCTACATCATTAAATCATAGCTATAGAGGTAGCTCTAACGAAACGTTTAGACTTAAAATTTCATATATACTTTTTTTTTTACTCTCACAACTTAAGAATGAATAAAAAGAAAAAGGAAATGAAGTCACTATAATTTGAGGAACACAACAATTACACCCAACATTAGGGTAGCCAAGATTATTGTAAAGGGATGGGAATTGGGATAATTTGAAATAGACTAATTAGAGTTTAAGGGGTTCTGGTAGGGTTGGTGGTGGTGTTGTCAGGTGCCATCGAGTAGGAACTGACTCATAGCGACCCCATGCACAGTAGAACGAAACAGTGTCCGATCCTGGGCCAACCTCACTACCGCCGCCACACGACACCATCAATGATGCCACCTGGTTGATCCATCTCGTTGGGGGTCTTCCTCTTTTTCTCTGACCCTCCACCTTACCCAACATGACATCCTTCTCCAGCGACTGTTCTCTCCAGACTATGTGTCCAAAGTATGAGAGACTAAGCCTAGCCATCTTGGCCTCCAAGGAGCACTCTGGTTGCACTTCTTCCAAAACAGATCTATTGGTTCTTTTGGCAGTCCACGGCACTTTCAGTATTCTCCTCCAACACCACTACTCAAAGGCATCAATTCTTCTACAATCTTCCTTATTCACTGTCCAGCTTTCGCATCCATATGAGGTTATTGAAAATACCATGGTTTGGGTCAGGCGCACCTTAGTCCTCAAGCTGACATCTCTGCTCTTCAATACTTTAAAAAGTTCCTGTGCAGCAGAGTTAGAAAATCAAAAGAGAAGGCCATGCTCAGCATTTCTCAAGCTGAAAGAATTGAGGAAAAGATTCTAGTCTCGACTTGCAATATTAAAAGATTCCATAGGCAAAAAAAAAACCTGAGTGATGCAGAACGCATCAAAAGAAGGTAGAAGGAATACAGCATCATTGTACTAAAAAGAAATGGTCAATGTTCAACCATTTCAAGAGGTAGCATATCATCAATAACCGATGGTACTGAAGAAGAAGTCCAAGCTGCACTGAAGGAATTAGCAAAAAACAAGGCTCCAGTGATTGACGGAATACAAACTGAAATCTTCCAACAATATGACAAAGCATTGGAGGCACTCATCTATGTCAAGAAACTTAGAACCTGGCCAACTGATTGGAAGAGAGGTGACCCAACAGAATTAAGAAATCATGGAAGAATATCATTAATATCACATGCAAGTAAAATTTTATTCTGGTATCGTAGCGGTTACGAACAGGGCTGCGAACCTCAAGGTCAGCAGTTTGAAACTACCAGCTGTTCCTCGGGAGAAAGATGAGGCTTTCTGCTCCTGTACAGATTTACAGCCTCAGTCGCTATGAGTCAGAACTGAATCCACAGCATACAACAACAAAGATAATTTTTTAAAAAAATATAAAATGGTACAACCACATTGGAAATTAATCTGGTAGTTCATCAAAAAGCTAAACAGAGTTGCCATAAGACCCAGCAATCAACTCATAGGTAATATACCCCAAGATAACTGAAGACATGCATTCTCACAAAGACTTGTATACAAATGTTCTTGGCAGCATTATTTATAATAGCTAAAAAGTACAAACAACTCAAATGTCTACCAACTGACAAACAGATACGGAAAACGTGATAAAACTGTACGATGGAATAGAAAGAGAATGAAGTCCTGATGGATGTTACAACATAAAGGAACTTTGAAAACATCATGCTGAGTGAAATAAATCATAAAAAGACAAAAACTGCCTATTTCTCCTTATATAAAATAGGGGAATTTATAGAGACCAAAGCTTAGTAGTGATTACCAGGAGTAGGAGGGAGAAGGAGAGAGGAGTCATTGTTTTGAAGGGCACTGAGTTTCTGTTGTTTGTTGTTGTCTCGGTTAGTAGTGGTAAAGTAAGTTGGAAAAGAATAGTAATAATGGTTGTACAACAAGATAAACGTAATCAATGCAAATGAATGAAATATGTAAAAACTGGTGAATTGGCAAATGTTTCATTAAGCATATTTTCACCAAAAGACAAAAATGGATGGCCAAAGTGCATCTACTAGTCTCTCCCATCCACAGCCAAGAAGAGTGAAGAGAGTCCAAGACAATGTGGCACGGTTAGTCCAATGGACTAATGAGCCACGTGAACCTCAGCCTCCATGACTCTGAGACCAGAAAAACTAGATGGTGCCAAGATACCACTACCAAAAGCTCTGAAAGTGACCACAATAGATGGTCATAGATAGAGTGGAAGAAAATGTGAACACTCAAAATCATGAGGCCAGGCTTACTATTAAGATAAAGACTAGTAGAACCCTGAGACTATAGCCCTTCAGGTCATCCCCATGGCTCAATTTTCACCCAAACCATAGGTCTGTAAGGGTAGCAGTTACACTAGGTAGGTCCCTTTCCTTAGAATATTCAACAGTTTGAGATCAAAAGATCAGCATTTGCCCAAGAACAATGTTCAGAAGGCAGGAAGGGTTAGAAAAGAAGCAGAAATGAAAATGAGAATACAGAAAGTGAATTGAGTAGAAAATAAAAATAAAAATTTAAAAATAAAAAAAAGAATGACTCATGATATGTGAATTGTATCTCAATTTCTAAATGCCTATTTCTAGCAGGTAGACACATGTTAACTCAGGTGATAAGGACAATACACATAAGTGGGAGGTTAGCAGAAAGATGAAGACAGGTGAAGACACAGGGAGGTATGAAAGGACTATAGGGGATAGAGGTAAATACTGTTATACATACAACCCTGGAACAACAGTATTCTGTGGGTAAATTCATGGGCAGATACACAGGATGAATGGATATGGGAGAGAGAATGGGAGAACACCACAAATATATAAGGACTTGATATTTGGGTATTAACCTTTGCTGCAAACACATCTATGAATGTGGTAAAGCATACAGGAAGAAAAATGATGAAAACTTTTTGTCGTTGTTAAGTGCTGGTGAATTGGTTCCAACCCACAGTAAACCAGTATAGGGTTTCTAAGGAACAGCTGGTGAGCTTGAACCACCGACCTTGCAGTTCAACTTGACCTTGCAGTCCTATGCATTAACCCTTAGTGCCACACCAAAACTTCTTAGCTATCATCAGATATCTTAAATGAGCTCAGGACCATACTCTCAGGGGACACCATGGTTAACTAGCACAACGTAGTCCACAAAGACAATGTTCCACATCCTATTTTAGTGAGAAGTGACTGGGATCTTAAAAGTTCATAAGCAACCATCTAAGGGACAACTATTGGTCTTTTAAGTGCAGAAGAAAGAAGAGTGATGAAAACTGAAGATGCTTGGGCTCAATTAGTCCAATGGGACATGTGAACATCAGTCTCTACAACCCTGAGACGAGAAAAACTAGATGGTACTCTGCTACCACTCCTAACTGCTCTGAAAAGGATCACATTAGAAGGTTCCAGATAGAGTGGGAGAAAATGTGGAACAAAACTCAAAATTATACCTTCAGGTCTGGAAAGGAACTCACCCCTGAGGCTCAATTTTCAGTCAAGCAGTAGCTAGGTATATAGGGGGACATCAGCACTAGTAAGGTATGCCCACCATGGAATGGTCAACCAGTCAAGATCAAAAGATCAACATTTACCTGAAGACACAATTGAATTGCAAAGGGATGTGAAGGAGGATGGAATGGAAATAGGGATGGTGGGGAGGAAGTGGGATAAATTGTTGCAGGGAGGGGATTTAAATCATTGAGATGAAACAAAGTGTACAATTTGTTGAATGTAAAACTGGTGATCTTCTCTGTAAACCTTCACTCAATTCACACAAAAAATTTTCTTTTTTTTTTTAAAGAGTGGGAGAACCTAATTACATACCCAGTTGCTAACAAACAGGAGTCTTCCCTCCCTGCTTCCATTTCTGCCAGTTTGGTGGGAGAAAAGTGGAGTGTAATTTTCATTTCTATTTTTTTATTAACAAAATGTTTACTGTTCACTTATATTTGTACTTCAGTGATTTGTCTGTTCACATGCTTTGCCCATCTTTATATTGGACTCTTTCTCATTATTTTATAAAAGCTCTTCATATGATTATCAACCCCTTGACTTTCCCCCCCAGTTTGTCATTTGCCTTTGAATTTTATGATGCCTGACACCTAGCGCTGTTTCATGTTTACATAACCAAAATCAGTCACTTTTTTCATGATTTTGTCCCTTAAAATACTCATTCTTTCGCCCCAACCTTACCAATTCTAAACTCAAACCCACTGCCATTGAGTTGATTCCAGTTCACTGTTATCCTACATAGGGTTTCCGAGACTATGAATCTTTATGAAGATGACAGCCTCATCTTTCTCCCATGGAGCAGATGGTAGCTTTGAACTACCAATCTTGTGGTTAGCAGTCCAATGCCTAACCCACATCAGTGCTCTTTTTTTTTTTTTTTTTTTTTTTTACCAATTTTAGGACAAAATAAATATTTATTTGCATTTTATTCTTCTGCCTGTGGGTGACTTTAATTTTTGTATATTTCATTGTACAAAATGAAATATACAGAAGGCAGGATGCTTACTTCCCTATGCTTCTCAGGCTCTTGAGGGAGATGGATGGAATAAATACCAAAGTCTCTGACGCCTACAGTGGCATAGTGAAGGCCACTTCTAAGTGATCACTATTAGGGAAGGAAACCTAAACAAACAGATGGGGAGCTACCAAAGAGAAGGCATCAACGCAAACCACAGAGCTAATCATCCTGGCAAATATGCAAGCATTTCATGATACAGCTCCTCAGAAGGACAAGTGAAGAAAGTCTATCACAGAGTTGAAGCTCAGTAAATGTCTGTTGTTATATTAAATCTATTGATTATGCTTTACCTTAGTCCAAATGAACTGGGTCTGGCCAAAACCCTTGTGGAACTGGCTGAGGGGCAGTATATCAGCTAAGGTTACAACGCACTAATTGCTGCATTTTTCCAGTAGTCCTCAGGACTCCTGAAACATACCCCATAATTCTTTCTTTCTTGGAATGTGGTAGAATGGGGAACCATATGCAAAAGTTCCAACTTGATAGCCTCTCTCTGGGCTTTAACATTATTTTCCTAAAAATAAGATTCTTCTCATGAATCCAAAGCTTTAGGATCTCTTTTTCCACATCCCATAGCAATATAACTTGGTAGAGGTGAATCTAAACTTGATTAATTGATTTCAGTCAGTCTTAAAAGGGGTACCTTCTCAGTTTACAGCTACTTATTCCACCCCATCTTGATTTGCTTTCCTGATAAAAGTCAACTTACTTGTTGTAGCATTGATATTCTCCCTACTTGTTTACTGAATCTTATATGAAGGTAAGTAAAAAAGCATTGCTACTAAGGTTCCAATCATACATGCACAGGTTTATCCCATACAGAAAGCCTTTAAACATGTCTCTGTGGTCAGCAGATGACTGTAGACAAGCCCTCTCAACAATGGCTTCCAAGGGGATGTGCTGGGCCAGTTAAAATCAAGGCAGAGAGGGTAGCTCAGAAGGTTGTTTTAACTGTTCAGGGTAATCTTGATGGATTTTCTCAAAAGATGATCAAAGGGGTATATTACGAAGAAGTTTTAAGAAACCAGAAAACTGCATTGGTGAGAAAAAGGAAAGTTGTGCCAATTAGTTTTTTTCCTATCATGACAATGTACCTGCTCATTCTTTGAAGGTAGTCCTTCTTTGAAGGCTGTCCTGTGAGAATCTTTTGTTCCCCAAATTCAAAGAACATTTAAAGGAACACAATTTGCATTCCCCCATCACTACCTCCACCCCACCCCAAGAGTGCCAACACTGCCGTTTTGAAGTGGAGAAAACTTGTTGTTTTTGACTCTGACAACCACATGGTTAACTATGCCAGGAATGACAAATTGAAGAGGAATGGTGTTGCATTCATCATCAAAAAGAATAGATCAGTCATGAGGTACAACACTGTAGGTGATAGGGTAATATCCATGCACCTACAGGAAAGCCTAGTTAATACCATT